GAAGCATCAAAAGAAGATGGAAAGAATACACAGAGTCTCTGTACCAAAAATAACTGGTCAATTCTCAGTCATTTCAGGACATATCATATGATCAAGAACGGATGGTACTGAAGGAAGAGGTCCACGCTACACTGAAGGCACTGGTGAAAAACAAGGCTCCAGGAATTGACGAATTACCAAGTGGGATGTTTTAACGAACAGACTCAGCGCTGGAAATGCTCACTTGTCTATGCCAAGAAATTTGGAAGACAACTAGCTGGCCAACCGACTAGAGGAGATCCATATTTGTACCTATTCTAAAGAAAGGTGATCCAACAGAATGCAGAAATTATTGAACAATATTATTCATACCACACACAAGGAAAATTTTTCTGAAGATCATTCAAAAGTGGTTCCAGCAGTATATCAACAAGGAACTCAAGAAATTCAAGCCAGATTCAGAAGAGAACATGGAACAAGGGATATCACTGCTGATGTCAGATGGATCCTGGCTGAAAGCATAGAATACCACAAAGATGTTTACCTGTGTTTTATTGACTATGCAAAGGCATTCAACTGTGTGGATCATAACAAATTATGGACAACATTGTGAAGAATTGGAATTCCAGAACACTTAATTGTGCTCATGATGAACTTGTACTTAGAGCAAGAGGCAGTCGAAGGGAAGGGGATATTGCGTGGTTTAAAATCAGAAAAGGTGTGCATCAGGGTTGTATCCTTTCACCATACTTATTCAATCTGTATGCTAAGCAAATAATCAGAAGTTGGACTATATGAAGAAGAAAGGCGCATCAGGATTGGAGGAAGACTAACAATCTGTGATATGCAGATGACACAACCGTGCTTGCTGAAAGTGAAGAGGACTTGAAGCACTTACTGATGAATATTAAAGACTACAGCCTTCACTATAGATTACACTTCAACATAAAGAAAAGAAAAATCCTCACAACGGGACCAATAAGCAACATCATGATAAACAGAGAAAAGACTGAAGTTGCACAGGGTTTCATTTTACTTGGATGCACAATCAATTCCCATGGAAGCAGCAGTCAATAAATCAAATGACGCATTGCACTGGGCAAATCTGCTGCAAAAGACCTCTTTAAAGTGTTAAACAGCAAAGATACCACTTTAAGGACTATGGTGTGCCTGACCCAAGCCATAGTGTTTTCAATCGCCTCGTAGGCATGCGAAAGCTAGACGATGAATAAGGAAGACAAAAGAAAAGTTGATGCCTTTGAATTATGATGTTGGTGAAGACTACTGAATATACCATGGACTGTCAGAGGAACGAACAAATCTGTCTTGGAAGAGGTACAGTCAGAATGCCCCTTAGAAGGATGGCAAGACTTTGTCTCACCTACTTTGGACATGTTATCAGGAGGGATCAGTCTCTGGAAAGGACATCATGCTTGGTAAAGTAGCGGGTCACTGAAAAAGAGGAAGATCCTCAAGGAGATGGACTGACACAGTGGCTGCAACAATGGACTCAAGCTAACAAAAACTGTGGGGATGACTCAGGACTAAGCAGTGTTTTGTACTGTTGTACATGCGGTCACTATGAGTCGGAACCAAGTCAACAGTACCTATCAACAACATTAGTAGTTGCTCCATTTTATTCCTGAGTAACAGTGCATTGTATGACTATACCACAATACTCATCACTTTGCAATGCACATTTGGGCTATTTCCAGTGATTAGCTATTAAGAATAAAGCTTTTCTAAACACTTGAGATCAAGTCTTTTGTGGACAAATGTTTTCCTTTCTATTGGGTAAATAACCTGGTGGAGAATTGATGAGCTATGGAGTATGTTCATGTTTAACCTGATTTAGAAAAACTGCTAAATGTGTTTAAATTTGGTGGTACCATTTAACAAACCTACAGCAAGGAAGGAAAGTTACAGTTGACCCATATCTTTGTCAACCAGGGGCAGATTATCCAAGAAGCAAGGTAAGCTTACCTTGCTTACCAGATATCATCTGTAGTGAACAATTTCACACATATTAGTAAGCATAAGTAAGCCCGTTCTTACCTTGCTTACTGGGTCATCTGCCTGTCAGGGATTGGAAATTTGAAGAAGAGGCTTTGATTCTTTAGGAATGTGCTGTAAGGTTGGGAAAGAGACAGATGCCAGCCATACCTAAAAGCAGGATCTTTGATGTGGTGAAAAAACGTGAAATTGTTCACTACTGATGATGTAGTAAGCAAGGTAAGCACCGTGTTGACCTTTCCTATTGGATAATTTGCCCATTTTCAACCCTTTTAATTAAGTTTGTCCATGTTTTTAATACAGTCTGGCAATCTCTCCCTGTAATTAAAATATGTATTAAAGCTGTTTCTCTGCCGCTGCCAAGTTGTGCAGAGGTCTGGGTGTGTTCAAGATTCAGCCCCACCTGTAAGCCACCAGCATGTCAGAGGAAGGCATTGCTGCTAGAGGTGTAATAGATGTCAATAACTGCTTTACAATAGGTGCTGAAGACCGCCCACATCCACAATGGCCTAGCTTACAGAATTCATGAAGCTGCCAAAGCATAAGACAAGCGCCATGCCCATCTTTGTGTGCTTGTATCCAACTGTGATGAGCCACAGTATGTCACCTTGGTCAAGGGCCTTTATGCTAATACCAAATCAACCTGATTAAGGTTAATGACAACAAGAAACTAGGGGAGTGGGTACAGCTTTGCAAAAGTGACAGAGGGAAACTTCATAAGGTGTTAGGTTGTAGTTGTGTGCTTAAGGGCTATGGCAAAGAATCTCAGGGCAAGGATGTCATTGAAGAATATTTCAAATACAAGAAATGCACAAATGAAAAACCTGGCTTAAAAAATTATACATGTATATTATATTACGTATATATATATATGATACATTTTATTTTTTTGGGTTATATATATAAACATTTAAATCCAAAAATGAAACTATTGTGGGTATAAATGTTGTTATGGATTGAACTGTATCCCCCAAAAATGTGTGTCACCTTGGCTAGGCCATGATTCCCAGTATTGTGTGACTGTCCACCATTTTGTGATCTGATGTGATTATCCTATGTGTTAATGAGGCAGGATTAGAGGCAGTTATGTTAATGAGACAGGACACAAACTACAGGATTAGGTTGTATGGTGAGACAATCTCTTTTGAGATATAAAAGAGAGAAGCAAGCAGAGAAGAGTGGGACCTCATTACCAACAAGCAAGAAGTGCCCAGAGTGAAGCGTGTCCTTTGAACTCGGGGTCTCTATGCTGAGAAGTTCCTAGACCAGGGGAAGATTGATAACAAGGACCTTACCCCAGAACCAGCAGAGAGAAAAAGCCTTCCCCTGGAGCTGGCACCCTGAATTCAGACTTCTAGCCTCCTAAACTGTGAGAGAATAAACTTCTGTTTGTTAAAGCTATCTACTTGTGGTATTTCTGTTACAGCAGGACTAGATAACTAAGACAAATGTATAAATTACTGGCTCTTGACTATCCTTTCAGAAAGGGATAAATCAAGCAGACAAAAAATAAGCAGACATATCAATATTAATAATATAACATCCAAAAGTCATACATTCACGTTGGTCTTACACGGTTAAACATTTTAAAAATTTACATCCACTAGAGTTCCTGGGTGGCATAAATGGTTAAGCACTAGACTCCTACCCAAAAGGTTGGCAGTTCGAACCCAACCAGAGGTTTCTAGAAGACAGGCCTGATGATCTGCTTCTGAAAGGACTCAGCCTTGAAAACCCTATGGAGTAGATCTACTCTGCACACACAGGGTCACCATAAGTCAGAATCAACTTGACAGCAACTAACAGCAACAGGCCAAAAATGAAGCCACCATATATGGTTTCCAAATTGTTCATGAATACATGTAAATTCATCTGCCAAAGCAGTCTTTCTCAAATAGAGTTCCAAGACAGAATTAGTTCCTACAGAAAGTGATTTCAGTGAATATTGCCTCAAATACCCCAAGGAAAGTGGTGTACACTTAGTCACCAGTCTGAATTCAGAGAAGAGAAATCAATTCATTGTCTACAATAAATTCCTTAAGATATCAGTGTTAATCTTCTCATGAAATCAGTTTGATAGAGGAGACAGAGAGAGAAGCACCTAGCAACTTAGATGTGAACTTTCTTATCTGGTTGCTTGTTTTGTAGTTCATAAAAAACACTGAGCATGGGCTTAAGGCTGAAAACAAATAGGATAATATATAGTGTGAGGAGTCCTTGGGTGGTGGAAATGGTTGAGTGCTAGGCTGCTAATCGAAAGAGTGGTGGTTCAAAACCACTCAGAGAGGCCTAGAAAGTAAGGTCTGGCGATGTGCTTCTGAAAGGTCACAGCCTTGAAAACCCTATGGAACAGTTCTACTCTGCACACACAGGGTCACCATGAGTCTGAACAGACTCAACAGCAACTAACAACAGAGTGTAAGCCCTGTGTTGGGGCAACTTGTATTAGAGGGATCATTTGGTAAGAACATGCTGTGAGGCAATATGACTCCCCTGAGGCTGCACACCACAGATCAGTTATTCAGTTAAAAACGTGTAAGGTCCTGGGACAATCTTGTACGGCATTTACTGTATTTTGTGGCTTTGGCAGGAATGAGTAAAGTAGAATTATTCCTGGAACTGGAGGAGCTTTGCAGTTTGTGTTTCTTTTAGGACTGGTGGTTCAAAAGTGAGGGTGAGATCATCAGAGGGTAGCAAATATACAGCACCCCACACCTCGGTGTCCATCCTAGGCTCCTCGTGCCCTACAGCCCTGTCATCCCCCCAGACACTGGCGAGAACCATTTCAAATGCCGCGGCTCCTCCCTTCTGGCCTTTTATCTGCCTTTCAACCCCAGTGCTTTCCCAGTCTGTTCTGCCCTCAGCCAACTATGGGATCCTTTAAAAATCCCCACTCACATTACGTCCCTTCTTTGTTCATAACCCTCCATGTCTCCCAGTCTCCTCCAAATACACTTAAAACTCCTCAGCTGGCCATTCAACGCGTGACTTTTCGCACACTCTGCTACCTGCAAACGTGAGGACCACTCCAGATCTCCTGAATACTCCCGGCTCAGTCGCATCTCCAAGCCTTTGCTCACGCTGGCCTCTCTGAACGCTGTCCCACACCTCGTCACAAAGGCTGTCAGAAACGCAGACCTCGCCCACGAGCGCCCCATTGTCCTCGATTCCGGGGACTGGGCTGCAGCGATCTGAGCAGGCGCTCCTCACTCAGAACTTTTGTGATTCGAAGGAGGGACTGAACGGGTGAGGGCCTGGGGTACACGGCACCCACCTGCGCCGGGTCCATCACCGCAGCTGCCGGTGGTGGCAGCGCCCGGTCGTAAGAGGCTGGCGACCAGGTCAGAATCCGGGCACAACCGTCCCCAGAAGTGGGGTCACCGCGGACACTGCCACTGCTGAGCCTCGGACCCGCCTCTGTGCAGTGGGAACAACGACTCCTGCCACCTCGGGCCCATAAAGCGCTTCAGAAGATTTGCTCCCGCGACTCCATCCAAGAAAAAAAAAAAAAAAAGTACGCCGCGAAGACGACGCCGGAAGTCTCTCCCAGGCGTCTTCCGCACGCCTCTCCTCTCCCGAGCGCTCATGGGCTCACTGCAGCTGCGCGTCGCAGAGGCTTCTGGGTAACGTATTTCCCACCGAGCTGCCGACCTCGGCGCGTGGTTGTGGGCCCAGCTACTGTGCAAAGGCCAAGTGCCACTGCGAAAGGCGCTGGGTGAAGGTACTTAGAGTCTCTGAGGACGGGTAGGACTTCTCTACTTTTAATAAGCCCGCACTTCTCTACTTTTAAGAGGCGCGCACCCAGATTCCGTGGATGTAGTCTGCATGGATCATAGATACGTTTACCCATTGCCTGCGGATCGATTGCGACTCACAGCGACCCCATGTGACAGAGTAGAACTGCCCCATAGGGTTTCCTAGACTGAAATCTTTACCAGAGCTCATCGCCAGGTCTTTGTCCTGTGGAGCCTCTGGGTGGTTTCCAACTGCCAACCTTTTAGTTAGCAGTCGAGTGTTTAACCACTGTCACAAGGGCTCCTTACAGAAATGTTTAGAGTTATTATTTTAAATATTCCCCAAAGCTACAAGAACCAAATGGACACACAACATCACAATGTCACTCAGCATACGTTCATAGCTGGGAGCTCATAACTATTATCTTGTGTTTTAAATACGTGTAGACTGACACTTGAGCGTTTCGTGAGTTTCAGTTCAGGCAGAGTCAGAAGACTCCAAGACAGGGCCATGGAGTGGAAGAAGGAAAAGGGTTGTTGGAGAACCCTGAAGTCAGTGGACAAGCTTGGCGCTCTACATCAGATTTTCTCAGAAAGTTATCTCCTGCTTGCACAGTGATTGTGTCCAACACTGACAGTATCCATAATTTGTATTTACACTTACATTTTTACTATTTCTTGGGTCAGTCACTTTCATAGGAATTCTGACATTTATCAAGAGATTCAGGATTCAGCAGAGGAAACAGCAGAAGCCAATGAACTTGGGGGATTGAATTCTGAGCTCCAGCTTCCTAGAGATATTAGAATGAAGCTTAATGGCCTGGAAGCCACTGAGGAGATACGTAGCACTGAGGGAACTGTCCCTGCCCACTTGGTAAAAATAGTTTACACCATTCAAAGGCTGAGATTGTTTGTGGGATCTCTCTGGAGAAAAGAACCAATGAGTTAGCTAAGACCATTTGGTTGAGGATCAGGTCTGTGGGTCTCAACATGTGTCCAATGAGCAAAATGAAGTTATAGAAACAGGAAAGGGGAGTTTCTCAGGACCCCCACTCCCGTTTCAGGAAGATAATCACTATTTTCAAGGTGGCAGAGCCCATAACATCAGTATCTAGGAGACAATGATTTAATTTGTCAGAAAAATTGGTAGAAAAATAAACATAAATGTGTTACCTTCATTTAACCAGCAATTTCCAATGCTAAATCCAACATATACTCCCCCACTAATTAACACATACTTTAAAACAATAAAACTCTTAGAAAAAAACATAGGGCTAAATCTTAAGGACGTTGAATTTGGCGATGGATTCTTAGAGACAACACCAACAGCATGAGGAAAAGAAAAAAAAGAAGAAAGAAAAATAGGACTTCATCAAAATAAAATTTTTGTGTATCAAAGAACATTATCAAGAAAGTGAAAAGACAACTTACAGAATAGATGAAAATATTTAGATTATATTTCTAATAAGGGTTTAATACGCAGAGTATATAAAGAACTCCTAAAACTCAACAACAAACAACCCAATTTCTAAAAAAAAAAAAAAAGAGCAAAGGACATGAAAAGACATTTCTCCAAAAAGATATGCAAATGGATAATAAGCACATGAAAAGATGCTTAACATTACTAGTCATTAGGGAAATATAAATCAAAACCACAGTGAGATACCCTGGCAGTGTAGTGGTTAAGTGCTACAGCTGCTAAGTAAAAAGTTAGTAGTTCGAATCCACCAGCCGCTCCTTGGAAACTCTATGGGGCAGTTCTACTCTGTCCTGTAGGGTCGCTATGAGTTGGAATCAACTCGACGACGACGGGTAGGATGGCTATTATAAAAACTAACAACAACAAATGGAATATAACAAGTTTTGTAGAGGAAGTGGAGAAATTAGAACCCTCACGCATTGCTGATGGGAATGTAAAATGGTGCAGCCACTGTGGGAAACAGTTTGGCAGTTCCTCAAAAAGTTAAACATAGAATTACCATGTTGTTGTTGTTAGGTATCATCGAGTCAGTTCCAATCGTAGCGACCCTACGTAAACAGAACGAAACACTACCTGGTACTGCACCATCCTTAGAATCGATGTTATGCTTGAGCCCATTGTTGCAGCCAGTGTGTCAATTCATTTCGTTGAAGGTCTTCTTTTTTGCTAACTTCCTGGCCATATACTCAAAAGAATTGAAAGAAGAGACTCAAATACTTGTACACCAATGCTCATTGCAGCATTATTTACAATAGCCAAAAGGTGGAAACAATTCAAGTATCCATCAACAGATGAATGGATACACAAAATGTGGTATGTACAATAGAATATTCTTCAGCCGTATTATTCATTTCAAGGAATGAAATTCTAATACATGGTACAACATGGGTGATCCTTGAAAACATTAGGCTGAGTAAGTCAGACATCAAAGGACAAATATTGTATGATTACACTTATATGAAATATCTAGGACAGGCAAATTTATAGGGACAGAAAGTAGAGATTACAGTGGCTGAAGGGAGGGGACAAGGCGGAGTTAATATTGAACGGGTAGAGCTTCTGTGTAGTGATAAAGCTTTCGAGATAGATGGTGGTGATGGTTGCACAACATGGTGAATGTAATTAATGCCACCAAATCGTACACTTAAAATGTTTGAAATGCAATTTTTTTTAATCTATTTTACCACAGTAAAATAAAAAGTTTACAAAGCCAAGTTAAAAACAAAAAATTGTAATGGACAAATGGCTTATCAATTTCAAAAATAAAATAAAAAACGGGTAGTTGTTAGTTGCTGTCAATCCCGACTCATGGTAACTCCATGTGTGTCAGAATAGAACTGTGCTCCATAGGGTTTTCAAGGCTGTGATGTTTCAGAAGCAGATCACCAGGCTTGTCTTCTGAGGCACATCTGGGTGGGTTCAAACAGCCAAGCTTTCAGCTAGCAGTTGCGCACTTAGCCATTTGCACCACCCGGGGAAGTATGAGGTGCCTATGGGTTAATACAGTTACATGGCAAACCTAATAAAATCCATAATACATTTTGTGTCCTAACTGCAAACAGTCTGCCTTAAAGAACACATTTTAAAGACATTTGATAAAATTCAGCACTGATACCGTATTTTCAATATTTTAATTTTGTGATAAAATTATCAGAGTTATGAAAGTGTTACATTTTAGAAACACATTCTGAAGAGGTTACAGATTAAATGACATGATATCTGGGATTATAAGTAAAATAGATGAAAAAGAATGGGCATGAAGTAATGATGGTGGACTGGGTAAGTGTTCATGGGTTCCATGACATTCTTTTCCATTTTTGTGTATTTGAAAATATCATTACAAAAGCTAAAATATATCTTTCTATCAGTAATTTTATATGTTGAGAAGGATGACTTATAAAGGGCAGGAGGAAACTTCTGGTTTCAGGTGAGTAACTCGTATCAAAACATCAAAATGTACCTTTAAGTCTGTGCTGTTTAAGTCAATTACACCTTAATTAAACTGGAAAACAACTATACAAAACTTGTCACTTCCTAATCATTTTACTACTTTTTTTATTATCTACGTTCTTGAGGTGGTGTGTGCTACTGGCAATTCTTCCCAACTCCATGTTCAATGACATTGTGTTGGCAATTTGAATTTGGCCGTGGTGGGAGTATTTACACCACAGAAACTGTCAAATACTAAAAACCCAGGCTTGATTTATTGTATTATTGAATGTGTAGACTTAAGAAAATGATGGAGAATATGTTAATGCAGATTAAACTTAAAAGTGTATGGTGTATGTGGCTATTGTATTATGCATAGTACAAAAAAATGAGTAAAAAATGAGGACATATGCAAGTACTTAAAAACAATTATTCCAAAAATTCCAACATGTCATTGTTGTGTCACTATCTTATTTGTTAATGAAAAGGGAAAGAGCCAAAATTCATTAAAAAAATAAGAAAAGATACGAAGTAGTCTTTTACCAAATAAAATGTACAGGTAGCAAATAAACACATGAAAAAAAATGCTCAACATCATGAATCATTAGGGAAATTCAATTTAAACCTTAATGAAATACCACTACACATTTATTAAAAGGGAAAAATTTTAAAAGCTGTACTGGCAAAAATGTGGAGAAAGTGGAAATCTCATAAACTGCTAGTAGGAATGTAAAAGAGAACAACCATTTTAGGTCACAGTTGGGCAGTTCCTTAAAAAGTTATAAACATTCCTCCAGCCTGACTCAGGCATTACACTTTGACTTATTAACACAAGAGGAATGAAACTTATCTCCATATAAAGAATTGTATACAAATGTCCATAGCACCTTTATTTGCAATAGCCAAAATCTGGAAATAGCCCATATGTCCATAAACAGATGAATGGATAAACAAATACTAGTATAGCCATAAAACAGAATGCTACTCTGTAATTAAATGAACTACTCATATAACCACCATTGATGAATATTAAAATAGATTTTTACCTTGAAGGAAACCTGAAAGAAAAAAAAAGTGAACACTTTAATGTAAAATTCTTGAAAATGCAAACTAATCTATTGTAAAGGAAAGTAAATCATTAGTTGCCTAGAGCACCTAAAGAGCAGAAAGAGAGATTATAAAAGGTCATGAGGTGAATATGTGTGTGACGAATATACCATTATCATGATTATGGTAGTTTCATGGGTATATATGTCAATACTTACCAAATTGTATACTTTGTGTTTATTCCATGTCAATTATACCTTAATGTTTAAAAAACGGTTCAAAATAAAAATCTAGAACTTCCACTCTAGAAAAGCAGGTTTAGCAAGCCCATGTTGACTCCACCATCACTCTCCTAACACCCTGGGAAGGCAGCTGGCAACAAAATTAGCGAGCAGTGAAGGCCATTTCTCCTCAACAGGAATACAGCTGGGTCATAAATATCACATGCCTGGACTACAGGATCTGCATTCTCTCCATCCTTGTTTTCCTCCTTAAGTAGCGATGGCCTTGAGCTGAACAGCCCAGAGAGGACACAGGAATTCACAAAACCTTTATTTTCTGACGATGACCTCAGCTACAGAAGACATTCATGTCTGGAGGATCACAGAATGTGTGTACACACTGATCTCACACAGCCATAGTCATTAGAACACTTGTTGAAGCAATTTTAGAAGAGGTTATTCCCTCTAATTTGCTGCAGTCTCCACCATTCCTTATTAACCCAGTGCTGCTGTAACCAACCATGGTTCCTCTGGCCCCTAGGGTCTTACAACCAGTGACACCCACCTACTGGATTCTGGACATCAGGGCTGTTCCTTTGGACGACCTGGGGAAGACTCCCTCAGCAGTGCTAGACATTATGTAATATGAAAAAGTCATGTTGCTCCCAAGAAGCACTGGAGGGTGCTATAAAAACTGGCCCCTCCTCAAGGTGACCTCTGACCCCACAAGAAATCCTGGCATCCAGGTCACAAATCAAGACCACGAAGCCCTACAGTCCTTCCCGGGAGACCTTGGGCAATGTGCAAACCAGGCCCAAGCTGGAAAGCCATTTTCTGCTATCATTATCATCCCCTCTGAGGCACATAAAGTTTGGGATCCCCACAAAAGTTATTCAGCCTTCATGCTTGTAGAGCCCAATTCTGCTTTCTAAGCCCTCAGTGAATAGACCACCCCCCACTAAGATTAAAGGCGCTTAAACAAAAGTCCTTTATTATTGCACAAACCAGAGTACTGTGTCGCAGATGGTTCCTGGGTTGGTGACTGGGAGGCTAGAAAAGTTCATCACAAGCATCACGTGAGCCCAACAATGTCCCTGAAAGAGGTAGTCCTTTTCTACAAGCCACCAACTGAACTGATACTGGGTTAAATCTGAGTCAGGTCCATGCCCTAACTTATTAGAGAGAAGGGAATGAGAACACCCTAGGGGCTCAGACCTCTCAGGATTTCCTCCAGTGAATAGGTGGACACAGAGATCTGCTTTCCTGTGTATGTTGGGGTGATGACTGATGCACACTGTGGGGACTACCAGGAGATAGAGCTTACATGGCTTATATCATAGAAGCTGGCAGTGATGAAAATCTGGCAAGGGCCTTGGGCAGGTTAGAAAGTGCAGTGCAGCTCCTTAAAGCTTCGTCCATACTTGGAACTTATGGGGAAACTCCCTACTGTGGATGTTTGGATGTATACGGTTGAATTCAGGTTGATGACTCCCCCAGAAAGGCTCTCCTCCAGTGTTATTACACTGATCAAACACCCAGCAAATTCCCTGCACATCTAAGGCCTTTCTCCAGTGTGAATTCTCTGATGTTGAATGAGGTCGGATTTGCGGCTAAAAGATTTCCCACATTCATCACACTCGTAAGGCCTTTCTCCAGTGTGCACTCTCCAGTGCTGAATGAGGCCAGAGCTTTGCCTAAAGGATTTCCCACATTCATCACACTCATAAGGCCTTGCTCCCGTGTGAACTCTCCGGTGTTTAATGAGGTCAGATTTGCGGCTAAAGGATTTTTCACACTCATTGCACTCATAAGGCCTTTCTCCAGTGTGAACTCTCCGGTGTTGATTGAGGCCAGAGCTTTGCCTAAAAGATTTCCCACATTCACTACATTCATAAGGCATTTCTCCAGTGTGAATTCTCTTGTGTACAATAAGGTGAGAGCTTCTGCCAAATAATTTCCCACATTCACTGCACTTATAAGGCTTTTCTCCAGTGTGAACTCTCCTGTGGTGAATGAGGGTAGAGATGTGGCTAAAGGATTTCCCACATTTGCCGCACTCAAAAGGCTTTGCTCCTGTGTGAACTCTCCAATGCTGAATGAGGCTGGAGCTTTGGCTAAAGGATTTCTCACATTCATTGCACTTATAAGGTCTTTCTCCAGTGTGCACTCTCTGGTGTTTTATGAGACTAGAGTTGTAGGTTAAGGATTTCTCACATTTTCCATACTCATAAGGCTTTGCTCCTGTGTGAACTCTCTGGTGTTGACGGAGGCCAGAGACTTGGCTAAAGAATATTCCACATTCACTACACGCATACGGCCTTTCTCCAGTGTGAATTTGTTGATGCTGAGCAAGTCTGTAATTGTAGCTCATCTTTCTCCCACATTTGCTACCCTCACAAAGCCCCTCTCCAGTGCAGACGCTCTGGTGGTGAATAAGTGTGTGTTTGTGGCTAAAATCTTTCTCACATTCATCCCACTTATAGTGTGTCTTCCCAGTGTGAAACACCTCCCCACACTTGGTGCTGCTGTGTAGCTTCTCATGGTTCAGAGAGGCCTGGTGCTGGAGAAGGCCTGAGGTTGCTGGGACATCCTTCCCAACCTCCCCACAGGTGAAGGGCTTCCCAGACCCTTGAAATTTGCAGCTCCTCACAAACGAGGCCCCATCCATGTCCTTTTTGAAAGATTTCTCTCCACTGTGATGTTTCTGGGGCTGGGGAAGATTTGCACTAAACCAGAAACCTCTGAAACATGCCTCACCCAAGCACAGTTTTGGCCCAGAGTATGTTGGCTGGGATTCAGTCAGGTGCAATATGTCTTTCCAGACTGGGACACATATCTCACAGGGGTGAGTCTTCTGGGTAAAAGGGCCTTCCTGTGGGGCCCTAACCTGTGACACTCCTACAGAAACACTCTGCTCAGAAGATGCCACCTCCTCCTCTGTTCCATGCCAACAACCTGAAAGCAGAGAAATGTTGATGAAATTCATACTACTTTAGTGAGAGTGGGAAATCAGACACACCCAAGAATGAGTCCATGAGATTATTTTGAATATGATGGAGTTGGGGGCAGGTTGAGGAAGGGGCTGCTCTGTAGTACTGAGCCTCTGAAGATTACAGAATGGGAGGTCTCACCAGATGAAGGACACAAGGATGGGGTGCAGCACAGGGAGAAGAGGCAGGGCCTCTCACTCACTCCAGTGCCAACAGCCTTCAGCAGGACCTTGTCAGCTGGTGACACATGCTTGATGTGTAGAAGGTTGGTTGTGTCCAGGCCCAGGAAAATCCACTTGGAACTGAGTAGTTAGTACTCAAGGTTATCTAAGGACATGTGCATACCTCATGACATGTTGTGTGGGTCAATGTTGGAGAATACTGCAGAGGGAACAGTGGAGAGGAACAAGTGACAAGTGGACACCAGCAAGGTGCCGGCAGCCAAGGCCAGAAGTCACAGTTCAAATGACAAATCAACAAAATGTGAGGTATGGGGAAGAAAAGGTAGAAATCAGGTCTGGCCAATGGCATTTACTCCAAAACACTGGTAGACACAGAGCAGTTCCTGGCATGATTTGAACAGAGATCTACTGTCATGCCATCTCCTAGTTGCCACTCAGCAGGGCCAGGCCTCCTCTGAGACAATGCTGCAATGTCCCCTGTGAAAAGCAACTGGGCCTCTCCCTGAACCCTGTCTATATGATGGGACTTGCAAGATACAAGTCCTAAGGGAGAGACAGGGCAGGGAAGTCAACTTAGTACACAACAGACCACAGGACAGAAAATTAATACTACAAATAAAACCTCAAGACAGGTTCTTGCAAGAACAGCCCCTGATCCATGTAAGTAGTGATCATGACAATGCCTATAATTCCTGGCAGTCAGACAGGGGGATATGTTAGCTACAGAAACAGGCAGAACCTAGAGCACAGAGGTGGTGTGGATGTGGACATATCACTCAGTCAGGATGAGAACAAGAAGGGTGGATCCACTGGGCTGAATGGAGGGCTCCTGACTCCCAGACTTTTCCCTGCACACTCTCAGGCAGCAAGTAGTGAGTCTGCTCAGGGAGTGCATTGCTCAGGACATCATACACAGCTTAGCACCAGCACCCTCAGCACACATGCCAAGAGAGTAGGGAAAGCAGCACAGCCCATGGTCTGGCTGTGGAGGGACAAAGCTGTCTCTGGGGAGAAAGGGAAAGACAAAAACCAGCTTAGCACACTGGGGTGGGAGTGAAAAGTCTTACCTAGGGAGGCTATGATTGCAAAGTTCTCCAGCATCACATCTCGGTAGAGGATTCTCTGAGTCTCATCAAGGAGCCCCCATTCCTCCTGGGAGAAGTCAATGGCCACGTCCTCAAAGGTCACACCACCCTGTCAGGATGGAGACAGTCCACATCATGATTAGTTTCTCCTAGGACCCCAAGTTCTTCCCCCCATCCTTTATGTCCCCACTGCTCCTCCTGCTCCCCGAATCCCCACCTCAGGCTAGACAACAGGTCCTGGTACCACTGATACCTGCTCTCCCTTCATGGTCCCGCTGATCATCTGGCCAGGCAACAGCAACAATAGGCAGGTGAGCAGAGAGATAAGATTCAAACTCTGGGCCTGGCATGCAGGGCTGAACCCCCTCTTGATAGGTAATTCTCTTGGGGTTCTCCAGATCATGCCTCCCAGACGCAACCAAATGTAGGCTTACCTTTCACCCTTTGGTCCCCAAACCTAGGCACAAGGGCCATCAGTTCACACTTGTCTCCACATGCACACTACTCTGTCTCACACTCTCTCCCACTCTGCACTCCCACAGCTTCCTCCCCTCCCTGCCCCACACCATAGCACCTCCTTAGCCTCCAGAGAGCCCTTGGCAAATCCAAACAGAATCCAGTTCTACTCTAGAACTTTGATGATCTCCACTGCCAACATCAGTCCCAAATCCAGATCCAAATCTCCAGCTCTGACATACTCAGAATAACACCATGGACTCATGAAGGCTTCTTTGTCTAAATGTTCCTTGCTTCAACTTCAGCCATTCAGAACCACTTGCAGTATCAGATGCCCATGGCCCTCTTCCATTTGTGCTGCACTTGCTGACACTTCACCAGTCACAACTCTCTTCTCTCCACCCAACCCTCCTTCAAAGCCAGGTCCCAGGGATCCCCTATCTCAGTCCTATTAGTTCTCACAGATGACCACTTGTGCCTTGAACTAATCCACCAGCCTAACTGAAACACCCCAGGCCACACTAGGGTCACAACAAAATCCTGGTGAGTCCACAGAATGGTGATTAAGTTCTCTATTGTCTCTATTATTCCTGTGTCTCACATCCACTCATCTCTTGGAAGTCTTTGTCACTTTCCAGAGCATGCGCTCTCCTACACCCAAGACCCTGTCCTCGGCCCCCACCCTCCCCTTCCTGGATTGCTATTAGTGTTACCACCATGGGCTGAATTCCCCCTCCTGTGATGCACAGTTCCACCCTGGTCCATACTCTCACTACCACCTTTTGTACCTCTCCATCCTGAACTCCTTACCAGAGCTCCAGACCTGTGTCCAGCTACCCACTTGATGCCTCCACTCGCTGTCCTCTTAAACATCCAGACTCTTAACACAACAAAAAGAACTCTTAATATCCCCAATACAAATCAATCCTACTACTGATCACCCCATCTCAACTGTTGGAGCTTCCATCCTTCCAACTGTTAAAACCAAAAACCTTGGAGTTATCCCTGACTCCTACCTTTCCTCTGTCACACTCAAAATCAGAAAGTCCAGACAGCCCTACTTAAAAATCAAATCCAGAATCCAATCATTTCTCCCACCTCCACAATGATCCATCAACACTCACCTGAACTACTGGACTAGCCTCCTCCCTCGTCTTCCTGCCTGCTCCCTCACCCAGCCTGTTCCCCACTCTGTAGTCAGAAGGAGTCTGTTGTGATCTGGGTCAGATCACCCCCCATTCTGATCCAAACCTCACATTGTGTCCATTAGCTCCAGAATAGACACCCACCTTCTTAGGCTGCCATCCAGGCCTGACTCCTGCTCCTCTACCAGAGATAGCAGCTCCCTGAACACTCCCAGCTTGGCCTCACCTCCTAGCATTTGGACATGCTGGTCCTTATGCCTCAACAACCTTTCACACCTCATTCCATTGGCTGCCAGAAATGGGCACGTCCATATAATCCCTGGCCTGGACTCAGTATCCTGGGCTTGGGATTTCCACAGCATCTCCAGACCCAAGGGCTGGGAAAATGGCAGGTGAAGAGTTCCAGGACCCCACAGTCCATATGGGTGGGGTCAGGATCAGTGAGGCTCAGCTGTGTAAGCGCTTCTGCAGCCATGGGAAGATATAGGAAAACGGAGATGTGAGAGGCAGGTGACCAAGGTGGGGTTCCATAAGCCCAGGGCTCCCAGTACCCCTGCACAGCCCTAAAACCTGGTGAACTTGGGCTGAGTGTGTTATCTCTGGGCCTCGGTCCTCAGTGCTGCCTCTTCCCAGCTCTGTGACATTGGACAAGGATTCAACCCACCTGTTGCCCACTGTTGTCATCACCCCAACTCCATTCGGTTCTTCCTCTCAGTAGCTTCAGAAAATTATCTAAAATCCTAACCCAGACAGTGTCCCTCCTCTGTTCGCAACCCTCTATGGCTCCTAGTGCCCTGAAAAGGAAGGTACAATTCCTCAGCCTGCCATCCAGACGTGACACCTAACACTCTCTAGTCCCTGCAGACAAGAATGACCCCAGGTTTCCTGAAAGCTCCCGGCTAAATAGCACCTCCAAGCCTTTACACATGCTCGTCTCTCTGCATGTGACACTCTCCCACATCTCATCACACTGGTGTCAGAAATAGGGACCCCACCGACGCGCGCCTCGTATAGTGCACCCGAAGCTTTGGCTGCAGTGACCTGAGAAAAGGCCTCTTATCCGAGGCTTTAGGATTCGAAGATGGCCGGGAAGGAGAGAGCCCTGTGTCCGGGACGCAGCACCCACCTGAGGCGGGTCCATCAGCGCAGCGGCAGCCATCGGAACCTGTGGACAGAGCGGGGCCGGGACTCGGGCACCAGTGTCCCCAGCCCGGCCCTGACGCGGATCGGCGCGGGCGGGCGCTGCCGCCAAGCCTCAGACCCACCCCCTGTGCAGTGGGGACAACGCTTCCTCTCGTGCCCTGCGGGTACCGTCACCTCGGACCGATCCAGCACTCCAGAGCCTCTGACCTAGTGGATGCACCCAACAGCAGCCAAAATGACCGCCAGGGGACGACGCCGGAAGTCGTGGTGCGCACGCACAGAAATGCCAATTTTCTTAGTCTTCATTGGCTCAGCGGCCTCGCTCTGCGCACGTCATTGTGGGAAATGTAGTTCGCATAGCTCCACCGCCCTGGCGAAGGAAGCCCCACCCCTTCCCAGACAAAGGCCTGGCGGCACGGGAGAAATGTTGGGAAATTGCATCTCCTGGCTCCCAGAGGAGGAGCCCTGGTGGCACAGTGGTGCTGGCTGCTAACCGAAAGTTCGGTGGTTCAAACCTACCTAGCGGCTCTTTGGGAGACAGATGTAGCAGTCTGTTCTAAAGATTTGCATCCTTGGAAACTCTATGGGGTAGTCCTACTTTGTCCTATAGGGTCACTGTGAGTCTGGTTTTTGGACCACTGGGTGAGTTTGAACCTGAGACAGGCAACCTGAGAGCTCAGTCCTTCTAGTAGACACCTGCTCTGGCTTATTCTCCTACACGGAGCAGAATAGGCCGCATACTGTTCCTAAATTGTTCTTGACAAGATAACCACAGAATGGCCATAGCTGGCCTCAACTGGTTTTAGCAGGTTTTCAATGCCATTTTAAGAGACCTATTAGCTCATTAAGTGCAAAATACATATAAGCACCCTGCCTCTGGGTGGAGACTTAACATGCTAATGAAGGAAAATCGACCTCTTCCTTCATCCCAGGGAATCAAATCCTTGTCTAAAGAAAATGCATGGTCATCCTCAAGCTCTGGGCACCTGTGTGAAGGTCGATCCTGAATATTCATGATAAATTTGCATTTCCTTGTCAGCTCTCTGTAAAAGCCCACCTCCCCAAGCTGCCTGTGAGCAGTGTTGGAGGCAGCAGCCCCGACTGTTCCTTTCCTTGTGCAATGAAATAAAGGCACCTTTCTAATCTCCCACCTCAGCCTCTTGTTTATTGACTGTGATGAGTCACGCCAAGAAAAACCTGGGGTTTCCACCTGGCAACAAACCGACAACGTTTAGGTTAGTAGATGGAAGCAAACCACCCAGGACCTTTTGAATTAACAACATGGCACCAGAATCCCAGAACCCTGTCAAGCCATCTGTCAACAACGAACTGCCCAAAGGGGTCTCACTAACCTGTCTTCAAGCATCCTGTCTTCTAATACAGATTTGCCCATTTTTGATCTTTCCATAAGTTGAGTTATGCAGTATGTATTCATTTGGGTCTGAATTTAAAAAAAAAAAAAAACTTCAGTAGATATCCCTAAGGTTGATGGAGAGTGGCATTCACAACAGTAAGTTGCCTAGACTATGTGTCTGGTAAGATATGACTCACAATGATGTGGAAGTACAATCCAATTCTTGTAAAAAAATGCTGTCAATGATCCACTCTTCATCTTTCCAGCAGCTTCTGTGAAAGATGTCCTATTCCTTTGTATTTCTTGGGGTGGGCTTTCTTTTTTGAGATGTGGCATCAAGAATATTCCAGTTTCAAGGTACAGGATGATGCAATTATTGACTTTACATGGAAAATGAGTCATGTGGTTTTTATTTAGAAATTCTTAACTATACCACCCAGTTATAATTACTAACTGGTAAGTAGACAGTTACCCACAATGCAACAAGATTCCATTATCACATAAGTGGCACATGGCTACGCTGTCTGTGCTAGCCCATGAGCTGGGAAGCTCACTGATCCTCGCTATATTTGGACTTAGTTATCTAAGGAGCCCTAGTTAGGTGCAGTGGCTAAGTGATAGGCTACTAACTAGAAGTTTGACCATTTGAACCCACCAGCCGCTTCACAGAAGAAAGATGTGGCAGTCTGCTTCTGTAAAGATTACAGCCTTTGAAACCTTATGGAGCAGTTCTATTCAAAGACCATGAGTTTTTGTCTTAGTTATCTAGTGCTGTTATAACAGAAATACCACAATTGGGTGGCTTTAACAAACAGAAATGCATTTTCTCACAGCTTAGGAGTCTAGAAGTCCGAATTTAGGGTGCCAGCTCTAGGGGAAGGCTTTGTCTCTCTTTTGGCCCTGGGGGAATGTCCTTGTTTTGCTTCTATTCCTTGGCTCCTTGGTGAACTTAATGTGGCATGGCATCTATCTGCCGGCATCTTTGCTTCTTGCTTCCTTCCATAATCTCTTATGTATCTCAAAAGAGATTGACTGAAGACACACCCTACACTAACACTGTCCATTAACATAACAAAGAAAATCCATTCCCAAATGGGATTATAACCACTACAGGGGTTAGGATTCACAACATATTTTTTGGGCACACAACTCAATCCATAACAGCCCCAAACATGGAAATTGGTTTTGAAAACATTGAACTGGCCTTCCAGCATTGATTGGCAGAAGTAATTATAGCTTTTGCTATGAAAGGGAAAGGAAGCGCTGGGAAGTGAGTGGGCTGTCTCGGTGGCTACCTACTCCTCTGAGGAGGAATAAATCCCTGCAGTTGGACAGCAGGAGTGAATCTGGCTACCAACACAGCCTAGAAATTTCTGGGTTGGGCCACATATACCAGAATATGGACATATCTCTGGGGTGTATCATTTCGGGACTCAAATGAAATTTCTAAACATGTCAATAAAATATTGCACGGGTGGCAAGGACAAAAGAGAATTAATGGAGATTATTTAAAAATGTGTAGGACCTAGTATTAGGTACTAAATGGTTGTCAATTCTAGTATGAATTCTTCAAACTTATTGGTGACAGGAAAAAATCATGAAAACGTGGGCACACTAATGTGTTATGGGATTTTTGAAGGAATGTTCTGCTCACACAAACCAGAGAGAAAAGAATTCCTGAGTTAAAGAATTGGAGGTTTGAGGTAGCACCCCATCTGGAACTCAGCCCACGCTTCCAGTAAATTGGATAAAATATAAAATAGAGGCAAAGGGAAGGAAATAAGTTAATGTCAGTATCTTACCAAGCTAATATATGATGCATAACTTTGCTAGCACTTGACATTTTATATGCATGATATCCACACTTTTCCTGATTTTAAATCTTGTGAAAATTTAAATAATATGCAGGATATAGCCCCCTTACACACTACCACATAAACATAATCACAGAAATATATATTACATATGTGAATTTTATTTTAAAACTTGAAAATGGGGAAAAGTGAATATTCTAGATTTAAGCAAGCTTCTTTTGGTGTAAAAATAAAGATCTATTTCCATATCAGGCTATGAATTACAGTTTCAGTGATTGTGTGGATGAAATATAAATACCTTTCATAAAATGTCTGAGAATTGTAGATACTAAAATATTAAGTTAGAATTCTTACAGTAAACACGAGTAGCCTCAATTTACTAGATGGAAACAGATAATTAAAAAGAAACAGCTTTAACTCTGAGTGTTAATATTGGGAATGATTGTGAAAATGGTATTTAAGGTCTTTTGAAATTTTTGAAAAATTTTGAAATGGTTAAGCAAAAATATGTTTCAAATAAATTACATAGTTAATGCTGATCTTGAGAAATTGAAAGTGAATGTATGGAGGCTCAATTAATAGTAAAACATTTTAAAGTATACTAAATCTTAAAATTGAGCTGCATATTTTTAATAAAACAAGTTAATTTACATAACTGAATATATTTTAAATGATGCGTAATTAGAAGAGTTCCTTTTGTTTTTACATAACTGATAGGACTACTTTACTGATCTGTTATTTTTCTTTATAAAAAATTCAGAATACTTGGCCTGTCCACAGGGCTTACTCAGAACTCACCATCACATTCCTTTCCAGCTTCCAATCCTTCTACTCTCGACATATCTCTATATTTCAAACACATGGGATTTCTCCTAGCTCTTTGAATGCTCAAAATCCTTCTTAACATGGGGACTTTCAAAGGGATTGTCCCTCTATCTGAAGAAGCTAAATACAACTGTGCTTAGCAAATGCATAAAAAACTTCCAGGTATTTTCATAAGACTAAAAGTGAGAGACTTCTGCCAAATCGGCAAATTCATAAATTTTTCTTAGTACATTATTTCAGTTTTCCACAAATTTTACAATGAAGACGCTAACACCATCTGAGTAATCTTTGTGCAATTATGCCCACAATGTTCATATTTAGATCTATTATAGAACTTATGAGTTCCAGGATATAACTGCCCCATTTTACATGGAATAGCATATTCCTAGCATGAATGTGATACATATTTGTTGTTGCCATTGAGTGGATTCTGACTCATGGCAACCCCATGTGTTACAGAGTAGAACTGTTCCATAGAGTTTTCTTGGCTGTAATCTTAATACCACGTACAGACCTTTATTAACACATGCTGGAAAGAGTGAAGGAATGTCCCATAGAGAACTGACTCAATGGTTGCAAACATTAGGAAAAAATGTTTTCCTTTGTCAAGCAGGCAAAGCATAACTGAGAGACACAGGGAAATGAGCACAAACGGGCTGAATGTTGTGAAACATGAAGCCACAAACACAGAACTTTCCAACTGTCACTGACCGGGAATGATACAGTCACCCAAACAGACAAAATAGAAGAGAGTAAAAGGAGACATAGATGTTCATCAGGATGGTATGCGTCGATCTGGCCTCTGGGAAGGTCCTGGGGAAAGGCTGTTGCTGTGAATGTATTGGACTAATCGCTTGTGTCTAGGCGTCGGAAACGACTCCAAGGCAACGGGTTTGGTTTTGGTTTTTTGTGCAGGACAAAGACCATGGAGACACTGGCCCAGACCATGAGACCCACACATATAGAAGAGAAACTTCTCATAAATGTGAATTATTGGGTCCTAACAGACCAACTCAACCAGAAACTCTAGCTTTGGATCCCTGCAATCTGGGTTTCACAAACATTCCAGATGATGCTGATGCATGTGTGATTTTGAGAACCACTGGGATATAGCAACCAAAAATTATATGAG